AGGATTTTCTTATAATATCCTTAGGTGTTGTGTGGCATTTTTGTTTTACGTTTTATCTGCAAGTTGCTATAGTTTGCAGGTAGAATTTCAGCTAATAAATTGATCTTTTCTGCCATTATTTGGTGATTATCGTGAATTATTCATCTAGAAAGCTAATTCAAAAACCTCTACATCTTTTGGATTTTTTCAATTTTTTCGCGTATTGCAATGTTTTAGTCATTTTATTTTATGTTATCCCAAATGTTCTGGTTTTACAGGTAGATGTTCAGCTTATTATGTGAACTTATAATCCTTCTTTGCTTCCAGAAAGTTTTTTTTTTTTTTTTTTGTTTAAAACTATTTTTTTATGTTCTGCAATGAATTGTCTTTGTTTTTTTGTTAACATTTTGTTGTTTACAGGTAGAATTTTCAGCTTATTATCGCCCACTGGTGTGTTGCTATCTTCTATTGTGGCTGCGGATGGGCTGTCTCTGGTTAAATATGTATTTCCTGTGGAAAGGTTACCCGAATGGGTTCGTTATATGCTTCAAAATGAGAGAGATTCTTTGGTTTTGTCTGACTTATGCCCGTTGTTCAAAAATAGGTTGAAGGAGGACTCAGTTAAGGGTTCTTCATTTCAGGTTCAGTTGAATGTGTTTGAATATTACATGTTCTGGTTTGTCTATTACCCTGTTTGTCGAGGTAACAGTGAGGGCCCTCAAACTGTAAGTGTTAGGAGAAGCAGAAGGTTTAGATTGGAGAATTGGGCTTATTCGATTCCAGGTTTGTCAAGCACCAAACGTGGGATGGAGCAGAAGAATGAGGGCGATTTGTATATGCATCTCTTGTATGCATATCTCCGTGCATATGTGCCTGTAGCTGATATGAAGGCACATCAACCATATAGGAGCTCACTGCTTCACTACTCTTTTTCGTATGGGACTCCAATTGTTGAAAAAGCAGAGTTCTTGGTTAACACTCTCATACATTTTTGGTTAGTTGATAATGATTTCTCACCATTGCCTGTGAATTTGTGCAAATCGTTTGGCATGACATTCCCTTTCCGGTCAGTACTGGGTGAGATTCCTCCTACTTCAGGATTAGGTGAAGTAGTAAATGTGTTTGTCAAATATCTGAATCTAAGTTCGATCGCATCAAGTGATAGAACTGACCAGGTTGACTACACTGAAAGTCCTAAGTGGAAGGTTGGGGGGACATTCAATGCTTCTCAGTCAAGAAATGCTGTTCCCTTTGTGGATTCTGGTAATTCTTGGAACTCGTGGATTCAGAGGCCATTGTACAGATTTATATTGAGGACATTCCTGTTTTGTCCAATGGAAAGTTCTATTAAGAATGCATCTCAGGTGTTCACCTTGTGGGTTAGTTACCTGGAGCCCTGGTCTATTTCTATGGAAGAATTTGCAAAACTTGATTCAGATCTGGGAAAGTCTAATAGAGGTACATTAAAGGAGGTTACCCCATCAATGCCACATGGTTATACCTCTTCTTGGCAAGTTTTTGTATTAGCTAACTACTTATACTACAGCTCTTTGGTCATGCATTTTATTGGTTTTGCCCACAAGTTTCTTCACACAGATCCAGAAGTGATAGTCAAGATGGTTTCAAAGGTCTGTTCCATTTTCAAATCTTTCCTTTTGTTGGTTACTATTGTAGAGAAGCTTCTGGTGCATATCACTTGGGTGTTTGTTGCAATAATGAGCGGCTGACTGCATGACATGTACTGCCAGTTATGTGCATGGTCTTAGTTTGGCATGTCTGGTCATCAATTAACTTTATATGCCTACTTTAGCTTTCACTAGCCAAATGAGAACTGCTTCAGATAACACGAGTCTTGTGGTTTCAATTTCAACAAATACTGTGGATTTTCATATTGGCAATTGTTGGTAATACTAATTACTTTTCTTTGTTCTTTGGAAGTGTTTTTGCGCACTTTTGAAGAGTCTGATGTTATAACGCGCATGGTATTAGAGGACAGAAGACAATGGTCTTAGCTGCCTTGCCAAAACCATGAATGATGGTACAATTGAATGTGGGATTGTAAGATCTAGTGGCACAGTAGCCTTGACTTTAGCTGCCATCTCAGTTTTGCTAATATTAGAAAGAAACTGTGAACAGACTGGAGCATCTCACCAGGAGCTGTTGATCAAATTTTTTTGGACCAACTCCTGTAATTATGTGTCTCAGAGTATATGTTGTTAGTTTAGTGCTCTGTGCTGCCCTGCCCTTTAGAGCATATGTTGTTACTCTCCAGCGTTCTTTAAAATCTGCGTTGCATGTCTTTATCCTTATTGACTTTTAGATTAGTTAGGTATTCCACATGCTTTTATTTCACTTTTTATTTTACCATCGTTCTCCTTGTCCCTTTCTAAACTATGCTTTATTGTGCAGGTGATAACAATATTAACCTCATCTACAGATCTGATGGACCTCATAAAAAATGTGGATATTGTATTCCATTCGAAACCAGCTGGATCATCTAAATCAATGCTTAATGCTTTGCATAGATATGTTCCTGCTATTCGTGAGCAATTACAGGTACTCTAATAGCTCGTCTTACCAGTGCTTCCTTAGTTCATTGTTAGCCGTTAGCACACTTCACTTTGATCTTCCCTCTTAGTGATTAATGAAATGTACTCTCATTTTACTGATAGAAATATCTTGTCAGCAAGCATCAAAAGTAAGTGAAGAAGTGCCGACCCCTGCAACAGTAATAGTGGTTACAGTATGATACATGTAGATGATGTGTTGTTCCCTTAAAGTAATGAATGAAGATCGAAAAGAGATATGAATAACTTTATATTATTTTATCTAATGTGCCCAATATTCACTTGCACATTTCAACCAACATCTCCGAGCCATTTGGAAAGACGAGGTTAGGGCTTGAAATTTGATTTCTGCTTTCATAAAGAGAGGAGTAATTTATGTGTATTGTGTTTACCATTATGAAACCTATAACCGTCTTCCTAAATTAGGTCATGTATCTTTGGAATGATCTTACTAAATTATGAAACTGTCTCTGAATGCAAGTATTCTTGGTTAATCTTTTTAATATAAATGTCCAAGTGTCTAATGAGCTTTCTCATGCATAGGGCTCTTCAGATTTTCCAGAAAGTATTAGCAACATTTGTGTAACCTTTCTAGTAGAGCCTAATTGCATGCATACCCATGCTAGCTCCAATAGTCATGAACCTATGTTAGGGGTGTGAATACCTTCACTTGCTATGCTTCTTTCCAATTCTTATATTCATTTGCCATTGTGTCAGGACTGGGAGGATGGCTTATCTGAGACTGATGCTGATGGTTCTTTTTTACACGAGAACTGGAACAAAGATTTACGACTCTTCAGTGATGGTGAAGATGGTGGACAAAAGTTGCTTCAGGTGATCAAAATTTAGCACTCCAGATGTTCTGTGTAGTTTGCACTTGTATGTCTGTGTTACTAACTTAGGCCAAACTGTCTTTCAGCTGTTTGTATTGCGAGCAGAATCTGAACTGCAATCAATTGGCGGAGAAAATCTTTCTCAAAACCTCCAGGGTTTGGATAGACTGAAATCCGAGTTGTGCCAGTTATTTGGTGGCCCTATTATGAAGCCCGTGAGTACTCCAGAGACTGTACAATGTGAGTACATGCGGGATGAAATCTTTAAGCCCAGGAGTTTTGCAAATAGAGCAATGGTCGATATTAAATACAAGGGTGATTGGATGAAGCGGCCCATCTCAGACGATGAAATTGGGTGGCTGGCAAAGGTGCTTGTAAAGTTATCAGGCTGGTTAAACGAGAGTCTTGGGTTGAGCCAAGTCGAGAGCAGCCAAGAGAGTCCTTCTTGGTCATATGTTGACGTGTCCAGTGATGCAAGGAGTGTGTGCGGACCCATGGAAGTGATTAAAGTTGTGTTGTGCTCTTTCATTTCCTGGCTTCTTATGTTACGTGGAGCTGGTGTGAGGTTCATGAGAGAGCATGGCGTCAGGGTGAATCTCAGGGTCTTAGCATCAAAGAAGGTGGTAGTGGTGTTGCTTGTCATTGCTGCTTTCAGTCTACTCAGGAGAGCTTTTTTCGGAGTTGGGTAATGTTTACATGGGAGATCAAGTAACATAACAGAATGAACTCCTCAAATATAGGTCTAGGACTGAACCAAAAAAGAACAGAAATACTCGGAGAGTGTGTGATAGAGAGAAAGAGAGTAAAAAGAAAGGAAACAAAGAAAAAGCCTGCTTGCAAGGTTTCGTTTTGTTCTGTTTGTAAATGGACTTATCTTGTGCAGGATGGAGAATTTATATAGCAACTTGTTTGTTTGTAGCCTTCAGTCCTTCCACTTGTTATAAATATTGTTCTTTCTCCTAGCTGAAGCAATAAGCTTTCTTGTGCCTTATGAAGTACAGTGCACCAAAACCGTCACGAGCTGTGTCTCCTCTAGGAATCACGAAACCTTTCCGTTGAGGATGGGATTATTACTGCTCCTTTTGTTTTACTGTTAAACCGTGGTAAAGGGAAACAACTGTTGCAGATTGTTTTATTAGATTCTTAAAGAGCTTGGAACTTGTCTGGAAAGTTTCACCTCTTTGCGTTCCTTGTTTTCTGATTATACTGCCTTCTTGGTACTACGTATTTTGGTAAACTCAAAAGTCAGCACACAGGGATTAGTTAATTGAATGTAAATTAAACTGCCCATTTGGGGCAAAATATTTGTTTTTGTGTTCTTCAAAACATGTTTATTGAGTAAAACAAGATAATTTGGTTTTCCTTTTAAAAGAACCAGGTCTTTCCTTAACAGATCCAATACGTGAAGTCGACATGGAGAAAGAAGAATAGGTATACACCATACATATATACACATCGGAAAAGTAGATGGGAAATTCTCTCCCTGATAACAGTGATGCAGTCAGTGATTTCACAAAGTAAGTTTACAATAAAAATAAGTAAGCATACGAAAAAGTTAAGGGGATTCAACATCTACTATATATACATGAAAAACAATTTTAACCTTGAATATACAGTGTAACTTTCCATCGAGGAAGTTTCAAAATGAACCTACTCGCTCCGCCCCTCCCTAGTATACGTAAACGGCAAATATTTGACATTGTATTTAATACAACTAGCAACAAGATTAATATTCTACATTGTTACTATGACAGACACAAAATCAAGTGCACATCTTGAACTGCCACCTTCATGTCTGAAAACATATTCAGCAATGTACATTCCTTTTCTATGTACACGTTAACTCGTTTCTGAGAGCATCTTCTGGTTTATACCGCGCGAAAATTCAACTTACAGTGGAAAAGACTCGTGAAGATAACGAAAAATCGTGTGAAATGCTGAAGGCCTGAGACAGTTAGCTTTTCCCCTGCTGCTTAGTGTGCATTGCAGGATTCAGGAACTGTCAGTTGTCAGCCTTGCAGACACGAACGGAGTGGAATAACCAACCGATGAAACCTCTGTCATCAGAAAAGAAATGTGGTTTATCAACAACTCTACATTCATTTGTATTCTTTTCTAGTGAAGTGGAAAAAGCTATGATCAGTATACCTCATATCATCTCAAGCAAATGGTTCATGTTGCTGTTCAATCAGGTATGCAGGCAAGTTGAAAGCACGATGAACTCGAGAGGGGTTATGATATCTGTGATTCTTGAAACTGGTTGAGTCTTCTAGACCAAATGGAATGCAAAATCATATGGAAGAGATCAAATCTAAATGGCATTGCATTCCAATGAAAATGCTTCTGCACCCTCTTGACGTTATTTTGCATCACCTGATAACGTCTTAAAGGTATACTCAACAGAATCTCCTTCAGCTTAGGAATATCTTCCTCAGAAACTATCAATGAGAAAGCACTCCAATCAAGCACTTCGTCAAATGGGAGGGCAAGATTATCAGCAATGATCACTGGTACACACTCGTAGTATATTGCCTCGACGATCCTTGGACTGTTCACTTCAAAACCCATTGGACAAAGACAGAACTTGCTTGATTTCATGTGGTCGGGATAAGACATTATTCTTGAGACACTGGTAGGTAGAGGCCCGTAAATTTTCATGTCTTCATCTCGGTCACTCCAGTACTTGAGGAGTTTGGGACGGACTGGCCCGTGCATATTTCCAGCAAAAAAGGCGAGGATAGGGCGTTGTGATACTCTTTTTCCACCAACATTTACTAGAGGCTTACCGATATTCCTTATGGCGGTCTCCGGAAGGGAAACATCCTTTCCAGCTTTAAATATTCCTTCTGATATATCTGCATTGCAGAGAGCTTTTATAGTGTTTCGAATTAGCTCCTCGTGATCCTTTAAAATGTAAGGCCCCTGAAAGAAAACTTATGTTGAAGATGTAAGACGGGGTCCAACACCGGGTAAACCATGTGAACTGGGATGGTTCTAACTCTGATACCATGTTGAAGTATGTAACCATCCCATCTAAAAACTTAAACTTTAGGTTATTAAAAATCGGCAAAAGGGTCTGGTGGACCCTTGTACTTGTATCAATTTGTATTGTGAACCCTTTTACTTATCCTTTTGTCATCTGAACTCTTAAACTCAATTAAAATGAGACTTTTAAATCCCTTCAGCTATGTGTGTAGCTCACTCTCCCTTGCATAAATGACATGTCATATCCATGTCATTTATTAATGACATGTCATAATTTTCTTCATAAATATTTTTTTAATTATTAATAAAAAATATTAAACAAAAGACAAAATCAATAAAAAATTTATTTTACCAAATAAAATAAATTTTTTGTTTCTCTCACCATTCCTCCACCTCCCCTAACCTTCAATCATTGTCAACACAATCTCCATATCCCCTGTTCTTTTCTTCTTCAATTTTTTTTCACACCAAAAAGAGACATCACTTTATTTGAAGAGATTAAACAGAAATAGAACAACTTTGCGAAAATAGACTGGGGCATTTTTGGGGTCTTCGTAGAAGAAAAAGAAAAGGAAAAGTATGCATAGTCAAAATAAATCTCAACGCATTGTCAGATCTGCAGAAAGATGATTGCGATCATGATAAATCAAGCAAGTTTCTGTGACTTGAAGGGAAACCAAGCAAGATATGGCAACCATTGTTAGATCCGCAGGAAGATGATTGTAAAATTCATCCATGAATCAATTTGCAGGAAAATTAAGAAAATAACTTCAGCACATTTCCCCTAAAAATGATTATATTCGAAAGGTAAAATCCTTAAGAGTCAAGACCCCTAAATTTGATATTGGAAGGCTGATGAGGTTTATGATGACACCTTTAAAATTTGCATCTAATTCTTTGCCTTCAAGAAAATGGTGGGGCTGGGGACGTTTTCTTTATCTTTTTATTATTTAATATTTTTTAAAGCAAATTCATTGCTTCCACTTGCTTTTACATGTGTGATATCACGCGCCATATCTTACTCAGCAAAACAAATGCCACATAAGCCTGGTCAACGGTCAAAGGGGTTTAAAATTTTCATTTTAATTAAGTTTAAGGGTTCAGATGACAAATAGTTAACTAGAATCGTTCACAATACAAATTGATACAAGTACAAGTGTCCATCAGACCATTTTGCCTTAAAAATCTTAGGGAGCATTCTTATAGATGCTCCCGCTCTACTTCAAGAAAGTCATGTTAAATTTTGAGACTGGTTTTTATCTTTATATAACATGCTTTTGCACTATTATATACCAGATTTCGTTGAGACAAGTCTGACTACCTAGTGTAATCCTACAAGTGGTATCTGGGAGGGGAGAGTATACACAAAGCTTACCCCTACCTCGTGGAGGTAAGGAGGTCGTTTCTGAAGGATCCTCGACTCAAGTATAGCAAATCAAAGTAATTGATTGGGAAAAGGGAAAACTATAGTGAAGAAAACATGACAACTAACAAGGAAAACAGTACAGAACATTCAGAAAAGGAAGAATAACAACAATAAAATAGTCTGATAACTGAAACACAATAAACAACAGATGATAACAGATATCAAAAGCAAGAAACTACATGAATAAAAGACGTGGATGCATACCCAATCATGGCAAGCAACTATAAAGTGATCTGTTCCGTGTGTACGATTCCAGAAGGGATACTTTGCAGCTAGCATGTTCACATAGTCTCGCAGGAATTCTGACAACGGCCTAAGATTATGCGAGCCAGGCACATAAACTGCCATCTGCAACTGTCGTGAACTATATGGCAGATAGAATAGGTGAGCCTTCTCAGGGTCCCTAGTGACAAAGTAGGGATTTTCCTCCATCAATTTCATGAACCATCCCTCAGACGAATAAATTCCCAGAAGATGAGGTTCGTGGAAAATAGGCCTGTCTCCTTCATCGTAAATGTAAACTTTGAGTAGAAGTTCCATCATCTCATAGCTCCTGGAATGTCAACCAAAATTTGTGTTTAAACAAAAAAAATAATTGAGAAGTCTTCTTTACTTTCTTAAACTCCGTGCCAAGTCATAACAGGTCACTCAATTTGAAACAGAGGGAGATCATACCTTTTAAAGTTGGAAATATTCCTAAAAAGAGGAGCATACAAGTCTGGATCATCAGTGACTATAGGAGCTTGCTCAATCTCCCTTCTAGCATATGCAAGTGCCTCATTTGGTGTCAACGACGCGATAAATCTCTGGAGATAACTATGTTAAAGAAGAACAAGATAGACAGAAAGAAATATGAATTCAATAATCACTTAACTTACTTGCAAGTGATCAGGCACAACAGGTGGAGGCGGATAAACAATCTTTTCTACTATACGTGCCTGCTTCTTGCGTCTCCTACGCCTCAGAAGTCTTGCTCGTCTTTCCATAACTCTCATCAATCGGTTTGTTCTGGCTGTAGAGTTGAGTAAAACAACCGCGGGCACATGCTTACTCATTTTCAACTGGTTATCAGATGTTACTGAAAGTTCAAGTTCCCTCGATTTGTTTCCGTGATTTATTAGGCGTTGGTAAGATGAAACATCCAAGGGTGGAGAGCTAATCCATTCAGTTAAAGGATTAGGGAGACTATAAATTTGAAAGACAACTCTAAACACTGTTAAAATAGTGCCTACAACAAAGAGTTTCTTCCAGTTAACTCTGAAGATCAGAACAGCAATTATTCGCCGCAAGAATTTCCTCATCCTCTTTGGCAAATATAGTACTCCTTAGTCCTCCCTATACTACAAAAATCCAACTTTGGTAATGAAATGATATGTATATTGACGACGAACATCAGGTTTCAATTCATTTGGCAGCCTAAAACAGCCACCACATACCTCCAACATGTTCTTCAGCTCAAAGTTGAAGATCTAACAAAACAAGAGGATAAAGAAACCATTAAGTTTATTCTAACATGTAGTGTTATGATACAACAACAACATACTCAGTGAAATCCCACAGTGGGGTATGAGGAGGGTAGAGTGTACGCAGACCTTACCACTACCTCGTGGAGGTAGAGAGGCTGTTTTACGAAAGACCATCAACTCAAGAGCAACAAATCCAAGTACAAAGAAGAAGAAAACAATGTAGAAAACATTGCAACTAACAAAGGAAGCAGTGCAAAGCAACATGTAGAGTTATGATACTACATTAAAAAAAGAGGCAATACTATGTATCCAACCATGGACACAAAAGATAATGTTGTATTCAGGTTAGCTTGTTCCCACCTTGACTATTCCACGTGATATATTATTACCTCTCACCAACATAGATACTAGGTAACTCACCAACAAAATTTCTCGTGTGGAAAAGCCTCTCAAAAACAAAAACACCATAAGAGAAACTAGGATTTCAACTTTATGAATTCTAAATTTTAATAATGAAGATTTTAAGTGATAATAACTGAATTTTCTAAATTTAATATTTATACATATTTAATGAATTTATTTGACCAAAATCAATTAGGTTCAATTGAACCTGCATGCAAGCTACTAGCTCCGCCCCTGAAAAACACCACACCCCACCTCACAAAATTTGACAAGCATTTACCTTTTGACAATAAAGCAACCAAATTGTTATTGAATATTGACATCAATTTTAAAGATTTGGTATGGATATTTTCAATGTAAGAAATGATCACAAACTAATTAAACAATATGTAAAAATAAAGTTGTTGCACATTATAATAAAACATATCCATGTATACTTGATACCTTTAGTGTACAAAGATCAAATGGTGGTCAGCAATACGACGTCGGAGAGTCTGGAGAAATAGAGAGAAGGAAAGTAGAAATTGAAGAAGAAAAAATGGAGATTTGGAAAGTTGAAAAGGAGAATTAAAAATTTAAAATAGCGAAATTGGCGCTAACTGTTTTCATATTTATTGGTCAATTCCTAGACACTTCCTTTCATTTCAATTGCTCTTGTTTAACCAAATTACGTGTCAGTGTTTGACTTGGCATATAGTTTTTTTTCTCGTAGTGAATCTCAAAATTTTTTGTGTTTCAAGTTCCATATTTAAGTTATCAGGTCTGTAAGTTTTTTTTTATCTAAACTATCGTCAAATATTTATCGAAATATAAATGACATAATACATAAACATGACCCTTAACTTGGCTTCAACGGACAACTATGCCCTCCAACTTTGAGTGTGCACAAGTAAGCACTTAAACTTGTATAAAATTGAACAAGTAGACACACGTGTCCTACATGACATAATACACGTAGGACGCCACGTATGACACAAAATTTCCATGTAGGGTGTCATGTAGGACGAATGTGTCTATTTGTTCTATTTATAAAGTTTAAGTGTCTACCTGTACAGACCCAAAGTTAAAGGTCATAGTCGCCAATTGACACCAAGTTAAGGGTCATATTTACGTATTATGCCAATATAAATTATCAGTTGTTTGAGTTTCACGTAAGAAATCATAAATTTATTTTACCCTTATAAAATATCTATTGTAATTAATCCATTATTTTTTTACCTTCATGTTTTTAATTTTTTTCATTTTAAGAAATATTTTTATCTTCTATATTTCTATACTGACGTGTGGAACTCAAATTCAATACGTTATGATGAATATAATAACACTTTCAAATTTTCTGTAGTCTTGTTTCTACAGAAATCTTTTGAATTAAGCCACACCACATATTCCTTTTCATTTGAAGAAAACAGACAAACAAAATTGATATGATTCTTTCTTTTTTAGGCGTCCAAATCTAACCTCTTTTTAAGGAAAAAAAGAAGTTTACCAAACATGGCTTGCTAGCTTTATATATATATATATATATATATAAATATATATATATATATATCTTCTTTTTTTACTTTTGGTTTAAAAAGAAATAAACCTCATGTGTCCTTTTTTATTTGTCAAATTTTGACTTTTTACTTGTCATTTTTGATAAATTAATTTATTTTATTTTTTTACGTATTATACCCTCAATTTATTTAGAAAGTTAATGTTTTGAAAAAGGTAGAATCTCTTTATTGAGTAAATTGATTTTGGATTCTATCAATTAATAAGAGTAAAATGGTAAACTCACTATGTCAATTGTTATTTTTTTAATAGGTGTGCGAAGTAAAAAGATGGATAAGTAGGGACAGAGGAAATATCAATTATACATTTATTGATTAAGTATGAATACATGATATAAATACTCCCTCTATTCTATATTACTTGATTCCTATTAATTTGACAAAGACTCGTTTAGAAAGCTTAGATGTGTATGTGTATTTTACAAAAATAATCTTATTACTGATGCTTAGGAACACCAAATTTGACTACTTATTTACTACTTATTAAACATAGTATGTAAAAAGAAAAAAAAATTCCATTTTGAGTCTTTAAAATGGACAAGTAAAATGAAATATCTATTTTTGATATAAAATGAAATAGTGAGAGTGATCAAATTCTTTTTTAATTTACTAAAATGAATAAGTAAAAATAAAATATTTATTTTTGATATTGGAGTCAAATAAAATGAAACGGACGGACTTAGAACATTTTTACTCTATTTTTCTTCTTTTTATTCTCTTTTTCTTTCGTTTTTCCCTTCCTAGTTTTCAAACAAAAATACAAAAAATCAGTTTCCAGGAAACCCGTGAAGTAAAGCCCAATGAATAAGGAAAAAATAGAAGGAAAAAAAATTAGATTTTTTTTTCTGCCTCTATTGTATTTGGTCGTTTTTGTGTGTCACTATTGAATATAGACGTAAAAGAGGCTAAGTACTTAGACAAGTTGTACCTATAATAGTACATTTGACTAATATCTTTAATTTTATATTCCAAAAAAAGAAAGAAAAAATGTGCAGAGATTCCATCAACAAAAGGATATTCTAAAAAGTATTTAATACGTAACATTTATTGAACTTTGAAAAAAATTACAACTTGCAAGAACAAGATAAATTATAAATTATGAGATTTTTCCATATTTATAAAAAAAAAAAAACGATTAGGGCAATCTGATTATGCTCGTAAAGATGTGGGAATGAAATATAGAGGAGCTACTTTTCTTTCTATATATGGCTTTGCTTAAAATTTTGCGGATTCATTTTTTAAATTTTCATTTAGCATTTCGTATTTATTTTGTAGCCTGATAAAATTTGATTTGTGTCGAAAAGTATCATTTTCGGAGTTTGTTCCTTACCAAAGAGGACTCAACTTTAAGACGTAAACCTAAAATATCTACTTGTCATCTTATCATAACGTTTGATGGTCAATTTAGTTTTTGGAAAGTTCAAGAAAATAAAAGAAAAAAAAGGGGAAAAGGGAGGCAAGGTGGATTTTAAATTTGAAGTTTATAAATTCCTAAAATAACCTAAGTTAATATATAAAGTATTTAATTGTACGATTTACCTTTCAATTGGGTTGGTCTTTAAATTTTGTCCTTAGAAATTGAAATTATACAGCTATGCATAAGATTTTTAAAGGCACATGGCAATTAGCATAACTTACGGAAGATTATAATACAAACACATAAACCTATGCCCCACAAAAAAAGAATATTAGCCTTGAAGTACAAAAATTAAAGGTCGACACAGAAAATAGAAGTGTAAATAAACCATTAATATATGATAATTAGATTCTCAATTAAATACTTACACACAATCCAAAGCGACGAAAAATAAATAAAATTTGCTATAAAAGCCGTCTAACGAAGATATTCCTACGTATGAGAATCCATTAAATATTTTCTTAATATATAATAAAAATTATTAAATTCATATGTGATTTTTTCGTATACATAAATAGAAAGCGAAAAAACGAATTATTTTTTACCCAATTGGTAACTTAGGTACTTATTAATTCTTGAAGCACGTCTTTATCGAGAGTGACACATATCCACGACTGCATCCAATATATTAGTCCATGCACTTACATCCAAAACGACCAATGTCCAAGAATTATATTATTATATAAAATAAATAGGATAAGAATTCTATTGGGATATTAATATATTGACTTCAATAATAGTAGGATCCCCATCATGAATGATTTTAAAAAATATCATATGTGAACAATATCTTAATAAGAAATTAAATTTACAATATGCAATTGGAGTTATAAATGGAGTTATTGGGCACAATAGTGCATGCATCATCGTTATAAACATCGAGTAAAAATATTTTTTTCTTTTACACATAATGATTATTATTGCCTAAAAAAGAAGTCGATTTGTACTAAGTATTTATTCCCTTTGTTTCATATTAGTTGATCATTTTATTAAAAATAGTTATTTCATATTAGTTGTCCACCTTACTAAATTAAGAAAACATTAATTAAAATTTTCTTGTATTACCTGTGTAATTAATTCTTTTTGAAACTGTTCACATTTGTTTGTAAAATTCCCAAAAAGATTCTTAAGGAGTGAAATAGTAAAATTGTTTTTTCTTATTTATGATTCTTTAATATATGTGTAAAAAGGAAAGTGATCAATTAATATAAGATGTCGGGTATATGTCTTTTATCACCCACTTTGAAACTATAATATTAAGTACAAATTGAGTTGAAGTAAATATTGTTTAATTATTTTTTTCACTTGGCTTCTATATTAAATATTAATATTTATTTTACTCACCTACTTTAACAAATTAATATAAATTTAAAATTCATAAACTTTAAATTCTGTCTCGATAGGCCCTACATATACTTAGTCGCGCAGCCGCTCAAATAATAATATTCTCATTCTCATAACTCCTCTAAATTTTTCTTGCTACCTTCTGCACATTTTTATTTTTTTTTAATTATTTTATTCCTTTTATCAAGAAAATATACTAATCATATAATGCCAAATGGCCAACATCTTATATTAGTTACATTGAAATCAAATACTATATAAATAGAGTCCCTTTTATAGATTTGTGGAGACATTGCTGCTCTGTTTATTTTGTTTTTTCTCAAAAAAAATAAAACAAAGTGATATTTCAGCCATGGTAGCAATAGTGAAATATGGAATAATTGGTGTTGGTATGATGGGAAGAGAACATTTAATCAATCTTTATCATCTTAAATCTGAAGGAGTTTCTGTTGTTGCCATTGCTGATCCACATCTTCCTTCACAAAAATATGCACAAAAATTAGCAGATTCATTTGATTGGCCTCTTCAGGTATGAATTAAATCACTTGTCACATTTATGTTTTTCTTAGTTTATGTGGTCTTCGAGTCAGCTTGCACTATCATATACGTGATTCCTCATGTTACTCTGCCCTCCAAGGCAGGGCCGGAATCATTGTATTTAATATGTATAAATAATCTATGTAGAATCGAATAAACAAAAAAAAATTGGATCTGTCCAATAGGCAAATGAGAAGAAGTCATTTGCGTTTCTCTACTATGTGATTTGTGACTATTGCATAAGAGCGAAATTTTACCATGTAAGCACCAAAGGATATCGACTGCGGGTTTGAACTCTATTTCCCATGATTTTTGCCAAGTTCATTATTGTTACACTATTAGCATAACATGTCTAGGTACAGTGAATGCTCTGGCTTTTGAATTTGTTACTAAGGGGTAGTTTGGTAATTAGCACGTAAGATCAATTGGAATATTTTAAAATTAAATTTGAGATTAAATTTATATTATATTTGGTTGACTGTATAGTATAGTATAAATCTAATCTCAAAATTTAATTAGTACTAGATATCCTACCTTATCCTATCAAACTAAAAATTATTTTATTTTATCCCATGGGATAAATTAATACTAATTCGGGGATAATTTCTTCGTCATACCAAATAACAACTAAAAAGTTTTGGAAGTATAAATGGAACTGTTACATTT